CGGCCTGGGTGGGAAATTTAGTAGCTGGTGGTCAGGCACTTCTCGGACGTCACTCTGCAATCATTCAGTCTTTAACGGCTGTTAAAATGGTAGGAAGCCCTTGGAATAACTGCAGACAGTTTAGCGGCAAAGCGTGTCTGTGCTGCCTGTAATTCAAGTAACGTTGTTTCTAGTATAGCAGTATTTTGGGAATGTTCGTTTAAAAAATGGGGTTCTGCCCCGTGTATGTAGCAAATTAATACTAGTGACGCGTTTTGACAAAAATATGCTTTATGAAACCAGATTTGTTCAAAGAAAATAAGGAAAACCAGCTGAGGCTAGATTGCAATGAGTTGTAACCTCTCACTTTGTGGCATTTGGCATGAAAGCGTCATGAGTATGGGGAAATGTTCGTATATATGCTTGAACCCACCACACATTGAACACACATATATATATATATATATACATATGTACACACGAATATAGGCTGCGTACTAGAATATTAAAATTACGCCCTGTGTGAATGTGCGAATGAAATATTTGGCATACGAATTTCATTTCAAAATAAATGGTTTCTTAACAGATCCCTTCAAATTTAATATAACATTAATTATTTCAAACGCTACAAGAATTCTAATTAAAGTTTCCTCTGTCAGATATTTATTGATTTTTAAAATTATATATATATATAGTTAATTTAATAAAGAATCACAATAGTGCATGAAATGACTGATGTTTTCTGGAGACGAAAGTTTAGTCAGTGCCTGCTATTAAATCTTATGGCGAGTGACAATAATTTTGACGAAGTCCAAAGGCCTTCGTGCTAGTTCGTAACATAAAAGTTTCTAAACTGATGGCTTTTAAAGGTCATACTATTAAATATAAATATTTCAACGCTTATATCCCATTGACATATTTGACTGGGTACATTGGTGTATTGTGATTATATTCTAACCAGTTATAATTTTGTCAGTTACACTCAAACGGTGTTTTTTCTTGCTGTTAAATTTACTAAATGGAATTCAGGGCACTAGTCCTGGAGTTTTGACGCTTCCATGTTTTGTCCTGGTCTCGAGGAATAAGCATGCTACGTTTGGTGCAAATCAGTATATCCGTTCTCGAAATATAAGCTAACAAACAAACAAACATGTAAGCCCACAATTTCAACTTCAGACGTAAGGCAATTCAGGCGAGTTTCTGCTTTAAGGGGTTAACGTACATTATTTAGTAGGTAATTAAGTAATTACTTATTGGAAATGGTGGAGAAAGAGTTGCATTCTGTATAGGAAAATAAATTCGAATTTAAAATCATATATTTAAGTAAAGAATAAATTAAAGTAAAATCCTACTCGATAAGAAACGCCACAGTCGCAACGTAGCGTAGTTTTGAAATCCCACTCATAAATTACATTTCCTGGTCGCTGCTAAAAACTGAACCGAGTTTCGTCACTAATTTCGTTCATAATTCCCAGGTATTAAGTACACGACCCTGGTGTTGCTTAACTGCAGAGATTACTCAGGGCTGGATGAGGCGAGAGAATGTTATTTCTGAAAAATGAACAGGTATCAGCAATCAATTAATTTCAAGGTCAAATTTCAAAATCGAAAAGAACGCGCGTAGGTAAAATGCGTGCTCTAATTTGAAGTTAACATTTCCACTCTTGTTACTTCAACACATAGAAGAACGTTTATGAAAAACGTGGGATACGTATTCGGTATTCTTTCATAAAATTAACCAAAGGAACGCGAGCGGGTTGCCTATACTCAACATTACATGTTGTAATGAAAAATGTTCAATTTTTTAATGGAAATATGTTATTAAGAAACAAAAACAAACAAACAAACAAACATGTTTCCAAGGAAGAAGAAAGAAATGAAACACACAAAGAATGAAAAAGGAAAGAAGAAGAAGGAATAAATAAATAAGCAAGGAAACAAAGAACAAGAGAAAAACTAAGAACATAAAGAAAGATAAAGGAATCAAAGGAAAAACGAAGGAAAGAATAAAAGAATGAAAGAGACGTTTATAAATGGAAGCAGACAGACGTGATTCCGTGCTCCTATTACCCCTCAGAGTACTGACAGTGATTAAAATCCGAAGCATTAACAGCAGATACTTGAAAGCAATGAGCGTAGTTCAATTAAGACTTCACTGCCGTCTTGAGAGATTAGGGAGCTCAATGGAATTTACCTTGACTTGGATGGCAGCGTTTCGACAACGTGCGGAAACCGCAAGAGCTTTCCTGAAACAAACCGCAGCTTCGTTTCAGCTGCTCGTCTGCATAAATGTCTTTTATTTCGAAGCCCTGACTCACGGACTGCATGGAACAGAGCCCTTCTTGATAATCTACTTGTGTTTCATCTAGTCAAGAAATTCCCCCACCCTTTTCAGAACCCGAAGGTTCAATACCGTGTAAAAAAGTTCCCGTACACACAACACCATATTTTTTTGAGAACCATTTTGATATTTAAGATGGTTGTCTTTTGGGTTGTTGCGCCGTGTAGTCTAAGCTCACCGATGTTTAAAAGGACGATCGCCCAGATGATGGAGGCAGCATGCACCTCTGAAACGTCAGTAAATTTATACCAGACTTCACGGCACAACAACCCAGAAGACAGCCATCCCCATATTAGCCGTCGTGAGTACATTAAATCTCACATTTTAGTATTATCAGGCCAACACGTGGAGCTATATATTTGCTCCCCCCATACGTCTTATTTAATAGTGTTTATAAAATACAGGGATATCCTTGAAACATGGTGATCAACTTCTCATATCACAGAAAAATGCGTGTGTAGTATTGAAAGCATATTCAAAGTTCATCTGCACTTATGTATTATTGAAGATGTATCAGTTACGTCATCGTGAGGTTTTTTTTATTATTATTAAGTGTTCTGTCTTACGACAGGTCCATTGCTCTGCCCAAAAAGAGCTCTCCAGTTGTCCCTATTCTCGGCTTCTCGCTTTAATTCCTGGAACGTCATCTTCTTTCCTTGTTTAAGGTCGTCGGTTAGCTGTATCAGTCTTCTTCCCAGTCCTCGCTTTCCTTCAACCTGGCCTTCGATGAT